AAGTTCTTCCCCACTTCAGTCTCTCCCATCCCTCTCCCAGTCCCTCCAAGTTCCCCCCACACCTCTCCCTGGTCCCCACAGTCCCTCCCAGCGCCCTCTCAGCCCCCCAGACCCTCCCAGTGCCCCCCAGTCCCTCCCAGTCCTCCCCAGTTCCCTCACCCACCCTGGGAGGACCCACCCCGTCCTCCACCGCCAGGGGGCGCGCTGGCATTCACCCCACCGGAAGCGGCGGCATAGCGGGACCGGAAGTCGCATTGGAGGCGCCAAAAGAGGCGTGGCTTAAAGTCGGTGGGCGGGGCTGAAGCTGAAGGGGGCGTGGCTTCGCAAGGGGCAGCGGCACAAGGTCAAAAAAGGCGGGAACGGAACAACGGAGGGGCGGGGCTGTGGGACGGAAGTGACATCACATAACCGGAAGGGGACGGGGCAGCGGGCCGGGGGCGGTTCCGGTTCTGCTCCCGTTGCGATGCGGGCGGAGCTGCGGGGCCTCGCCGGGCCCGTGCCGCTGCCCGACGGGCAGCCCGTGGTGCTGGGCCGCGGGCCCCTCACCGGCGTCACCGACCGCAAGTGCTCCCGGCAGCAGGGTGGGTGCGGGGACCCCGCTCCGGTATCCCGGGACACCGAGACCGCCCCACACCGACCCTCAGAGCGACCCCAGACCCACTGGGATCCCCTCATGCCCTCAGTCCCGGGGTACCGAGACCCCCCAACCCATCCCCGGGTTATGGGAGCACCCCAAAATTCACCCTAAATATTCCCGCCCCGAGTTTCCCTCAGTTCCGCCAAGCACCCCCAGATTCACCCCTCAGGATCCCCAAATTCACCCCTCAGGATCCCCAAATTCACCCCACGGGATCCCCAATTTCACCCCTCAGGATCCCCAAATTCCCCCCAAGCACCCCCAAATTCACCCCTCAGGATCCCCAAATTCACCCCACGGGATCCCCAATTTCACCCCTCAGGATCCCCAATTTCACCCCACGGGATCCCCAATTTCACCCCTCAGGA